GATGATCACACACCCACCGAGCCCAAACCCGAGCAAGTGCGGCCAGCTCCCGTTACTGCGGATACTCTTCCTGTACAGCCAACAGAATCGGCTCCGTTGTCCTCTTCACAGTTGAATGAGACCGCTGTTGAAACCCCAAGGTCAAAGTATGCCTCTCTCGCTACCCCAGCAGTCCGCGGACTGCTGAAGACTTACAATGTTGATATTCTTGATGTCAAAGGAACGGGGAAGGATGGTCGTGTTCTTAAAGAAGACGTCAATAAATTTATTGCCATGCGCGACGCAGCAGCGGAAGCGCGTTCTGTGGCACCTGCCAGTCAGCAAACAGAAACCACGGTTAACTTGACACCGATCCAGTCGCAAATGTTCAAGACCATGACCCGCTCTCTCACTATCCCGCACTTCCTCTATGCGGATGAGCTAAAGATCAACGACATTACAGCTTTGAGGAAGAAGCTGGCATCTGACCCCAACGATCCCAAAAAGGTCACCTTCCTCTCGTTTGTCATCAAGGCTGTGTCCCTTGCTTTGAACGAATATCCGCTTCTTAACGCTAAGGTGGACTTGAGCAATCCTGAAAAGCCCAAACTGATTATGCGGCCGAAGCATAACATCGGAGTCGCTCTGGATACTCCACAGGGGTTGATCGTCCCGAACATCAAAGATGTCGCAAACCGGACAATCATGGAAATAGCAGCAGAAATCAGGCGACTAAGTGCACTGGGCAAAGAGGGGAAACTCACACCCGCTGACCTCAGTGGTGGCACGATCACTGCCTCGAACATTGGTAACATCGGCGGCACCTACGTTGGACCGGTGATTGTACCAACTGAGGTGGCTATTCTGGGGGTCGGAAAATCAAGAACAGTACCAGTCTTTGATGATGCTGGTCAGGTCACCAAGGGCGAGTTAGTGAATTTCAGTTGGAGTGCAGACCATAGAGTTGTGGATGGGGCAACTATGGCAAGAATGGCCAGCAAAGTTCGCGAGTTTATCGAGTCGCCAGAGCTGATGCTTTTGAATTTGAAATAGAGCAAGAGCGGTTCTCCCATCACAGTGATACCAACTCAGGTTTTAAAATATAGGTAGTAGTTATAGAGTTCATCTGACAAAGCGATTGAAGGTCAACCAGAATTTTGCTTCCGGGTCTGTGATTGAGCCATCAACACCAAGTCCTCCAATTGTGTTCGATGAAGAGTTGTTTATCCCAAGACCGTTGGTAGTGAATTGCCATTTTCTTTTGAATTCGGTGTTTGGATTTCTTTGTTTGTTTGCTCAAGCCTGCGCGCTGGCGTCAACAACCCCTCATAGCTCTCAGCCTCTCACTACTCATCAACCTTTAACCTCTGATTTTCTCCTCGGTATCCTCTTCCTTTTACTTGATACTCCTGCTTGTACTCCTCTTGCACTATTGCTGCTACTTTGTGAGAGGAAGTGTAACCCTCAGTCTGCCTCGTAGCGCCTGTCTCTGTCCTTGATAGTGTCACCGAACTGTCAAGATGGGGACAAGAGGACTTCTCTTTATCCGCTGCCGCGGCAGATACTTCGTCATCTGGAATCAGTTTGACAGCTATCCTGAGGGACTTGGAGACGCTATTGTTCATGAAATACCCACTGATCCTGAGGGCTACCGCAGTAAGAGAAACGCTATGCTTCTGGAAGCTGTGTACACCCACTGACATATCTGTTCTCGCTAGATTGGCTAAATTCGATGAGAGAGATGTATTCTCGTTCTGCACAAAAGTTCGAAGATCAGATACTCACGGTGGATGTCAATATCGAGCAAGACGATCTTAGCATCAGTGAGCGTCGTGCAAAGAGTTATCTGGCCGTCGATGACCGCCTTGAATATGCTCCAATTCAGACGATCATGAACAGATTCTCCAATGACCTCTTCATTGAATGGACTTACACCATAGACCTTGACCGGGAGATGTTCGCTGTTGATGATGCCGCATGCTTCAAGCTGTCCAAGATACCCCACGGGGGACAGTGGATCCGATATCTCGCTGAGGACGCCCGACAGCGCAGAAAGCTGCGTGACAATACACCCAAGGACATCATTGCCGATACCTTATGGAAACCAAACGTCGATCCCCACTTGAAGGTTTTGGGCCAAGCTCTCAACATTGAACTTCTCTCGCTTACCGATTTTGCTGCTGAAACTATGCTCCCCTTGGACTTGGATGCTGCCTCACCCTCCACTGCTGTCAAACAAATGATGCCTGCCCGCATCAACTTTCTGATGACCACGTTTTTGCAGATGTGTAGGGCGTATCGGAAGGTCCTTGATCGCTTTGTCCTTGGGTGGGAGCCCAGCTGTTTTATGTTCAGGGAAATGGCGTTCGCTGTCCTGTCGCTCGCAGCTGGAGAAGTGTTCTTCGAATACCCTGAAGTCCTCGATGCGAAGTACGGGCCAAATGGCTATTACCTGCTTCCGAATACCAGGACTGAAAATTACCATACGAGGATGCTCCCGCGATTCTTACATGAGAGTCACCTTCCTGGCATCGAGCCTGGATCAGCACCGAAAAACACTAGCTTCTGGTTTCACAACGTTCTCATTCACCTCAATTCTAGACTTGATTTGAATGATGTCGAAGAAGCATCAGTGGTAGCTGTGGTGAATGATGGACTCGGTCAAGGATACGAAGAGTTCTATGCCATGGTACTCTCGATCCTAGACGTTGTTCTGATCCGCGTGCAGAAGGGACGTGACGGAAAGCCATATATCAGGAGGTCTCCTCTCATGCCTCTATTTGAGTTTACTGACGAGAACTCTGGATATGCTCATGGACCTCGTACACGCCCGTCTCAGTCCCAGCAGGGTCTCAACAAAGCAGATTGTCACGACGCCAAACCGGAAGACACATCCCTAGAAGATGGTGATGCTTCAGAAGAGGACGACGATGCTGCTTCCAATAAATCAGCGGAGCCAGCGGCAACGGGTTATTTCGCCTTCATGCTAATGTATCACTTCTTCAATGCAGCTGCAGCTAAGAGACTTTCTGGTACAAGGTCTCTTTTGTTTCCCAATGAGATCTTGTCATTGATCATGGACTTTTCGGACATGCGTACATATTTGGCCCTTGCACAAGCATCTGCTTTCTGCCACGAGATAAGCCATCACAAGCTCCGACTGAACGATGACTACGCTGTGATCGGGAGTGGCGAAGATCCTGAGACCTTTGTCCTAGAAGACTTGCATTCAGGGAAGAAGATCCATTCTAAGCTCAGCATGTACCAAGAGAATTGGCTTGGCCGTGCAATTGCAGATGGCCTCAAACTGAGTCCTGTGATAGGCGTCGCGGATACAGACAGACTCAGTATCATGGATGACGTGGCCATTCAGTTATCGGACGTAACACCAAAGGACCCAACGTTGTCTGAGACAGAAGAAGGTCCTTCCCGGTAAGTGCTACATCTCATTTGCAATCTGCCAGAAAAGCAATAAAGCTGATATATCGTAGAGAACAATACGGCTGGTCTTTCCCTCCGAACGAGAGAGATGGTGATTTGATTTTCAATCTGCCTAGTTATGCGTATCTCGGTGCTGTCGAGAACGCTTGGGGCCAATACCTGTCCAAGCTAGCAAGAGACGCTGGTGATCCCCACTCAAGGTTCTTCAGTACTATGCTCCGCAACAGATTGTACCGTTGTCTTCTGCCCCCTGGATACCGTGAATTAGGAATGGAGCCCTTCCAGTGCAGCGGTTTTCACGCATTCTTCCGCCACGAGCGTGATGAAACTCCAGAAGAGTGGGAACGGACTCTTCAGTATGTCGTTCGCCAGCTTTCCAAACTTGAAGCTCGCCCGAGAGTTAGGTTCCAGAGATGGGGTCATCCCGTCATTGTGGCCTTTTCTACAAAAGTCAAACTGTTCTATTATGTCTTTCATCGTGAGGTCAAGCCTGCGATTTGCTCGAATGCCAAATCATACACGATTGAAATCGCTGCCAAGTGCACTGACCCCGATCCTGGCAGTCGGCTTGTCCAGCTCATTGCCGGAGAAGACCCAATTGATCTGAAAGACGATGATGGCAGGATGAAGTTTGAAAGCTGGATCATATCTCTCTGCAAAAACAGCTCACTCCAATACAATCCATACACCGAACAGTTTGAGCGGGACGCTGAGGTGGATGGCGGGGAGGACAATGGAGAAGACGGCGAAGAGGACAATGCGGAGGACCACGGATGGGACGATGGAGACGATGGTGGAGAGGATGGCGAAGAGGACAATGGAGAAGACGATGAAGGGCTCGAAGATTATTGACGGACTGGCGGGAGTCAGATTGAGTCAGCCATGTTGCTTTTTTAGCTTGATGCGACCCTACATAATTCCTCGCCTATCTATTCAGCTTCTCGATGTCTACCCTGTTTGATATCATCATATCAGTCTCTTCTTCCGTGCACCGTCCTTCGTGGAAGTCGATACATCACTGAGAAAAATGAATATTTGTTACCTAGGTGGATGAATTACCAGCAGATAATGAAGCACTCTGAGCAGCGTGGAATGTGTCAATTGACTATACATAGCTAACGAAGCAAGATAAAAGAAAAATAAATCAAAAACATGCAACAACCAGGATGAGCATTAGCGCTTGAGGGACTTTATAGCGTCCTTGACCCGTTTAATCAATCTCTCTTTTGCCTCACTTGGTAGCAGCACAAAGTACTTGAGATCATGATGCGGAAATTGGATCTGGAAACAACTAACCTTGGGTTAGACCTCTGCAGGCCCGCGGGCGGCCCGGCACGGGCTATAATAATAGAATTGGGGCCGACTGGGGCCCCGCCTCTCTAGCTGCATGCAGAGGATACGATAGTATATGACATGTCACCACACTGCTTTGTCCTTATCCGGTCCGTCTGAGACATCGAGGGTCGCCCCAAGAGAAGGGAAAACCCAAACTTCAGTTTCTGTATCTATGGAGCCCTTGGTTGAAGAAGGGAATTAAGGCACAATAATTACTGCTTTATTGATTGATGTCCCACCGCCTCCTACATGAGGTGGGGGTATTTTCTCCCAAACTTGCCTAATGCAAGAATCGTGAAGATGAATTTGTAATTCGGATACGTGATAGCACAGCTCTTGTTGAAGATGCCTTCGATACCCTCCTGTAGCCATTCCCCGTTTCGCTGCTGTCTAGACATAATCAAGCGGACTCCACGGTGGATAGGCTCAACATCCGGGTAGTCAACACTGAGGAGTGCGATGACAGCGAATGCAGTTTGAACAACTTGAGATCCCATAGAATGCTCGATATACGTCATTTGTTCGCAGCTCTGGATTGGTTAGTTCACGGATATCTTTATCAAAGCATAGGGGTAGTGGCTTGTTGACAAAAGTACTCACTTGAAAGCTCTCTGACCATCCGCCATCCTCACGTTGTTTCGAAAGCAGGAACTGGCACCCCCTGCGGACATGCTCACTATTCTCATAAGTCTCTCCAACTGATCCCAGGCATTCCAAAGCAAACATCGTGCCATATGTAAAGCATACTCCCCAGCTTCCATACCAACTGCCATCAGGGCGTTGCGCCCTCCTGATGTAATCCGCTCCCCGTTGGATAAACGTCTGTACCTCTCCTCGCCGATAGTCAGGCCAGTGCTTGGAGAACAATACCAAAGCTGTCAGCACAGCGCTTGTACACTCGGGATAATCATATTCAACCATAATGCGTCCAAAGACCTCTGCCGTATTCAACATTTCTAGCCATTCACTTCCCCTGGTTGGCTCATACGACGCACAACCGCCCGACGGATTTTGATAAGTGAGCAAGGTGTCCACGGCATCAAAGATCCTTTGGTCATCAAGCAGCTGTGGATATCCATTGGTCTCTTTTTGAAGCACAATAACAGCCTTCAGCGCCTCTGAAATGCAGTCGCTCACCCCGTATCCCTGGTCACGATTGCTGAAAGCCCAGGCCCCCTTACGGAAATGACGATAACAAACGCCCTGATCTTGACAATTCTCGCGGATCTGCTGTCGATCCAGGAACTCGAGTGCCTGTACCAGCATACGCTTGAACTGCGCGTCTTCAGCTAGACCAGCCGACCACACAGCCTGAATCAGAAACGCTGTGTCCCAGCATTGTACACCATTCGTCCCATTAGCGAACATCCCCTCTTTATTCACCCAAAGGAATTCTTCCATGCGTTCCCGGTGACGACGCACAGAATAGGAATCGGGCCCGTCGCGGATATAGCAAACAATCAGATTCATAGGTGCATTAACGGATGCCAAATCGGCATAGTCTGAATTCGAATCCTCCATGTCAATCAATTTACTAACCCAGTCTTCCGCCCGTGTAGCCAGGCTTCTGGGTCGAAGGTATGGTGTCCAGATATTCGACAGGACCCAATTGATCGAGTTCAACACCCACGACTTGGGATGATAATTATCGGTCGGGGCAATGTCATTGCGGTGTGCCGCCCACTCAATGCTCTCCCACGGCTGGACAAACAGCTCCCGTCGCAGGGCCCTCACAACGTCCGTTTCCGCGGCCGTCCACCTTTTAGACCAGATCCACGACATCGGGAGAAAGACCTGTCGGATATGCACCCACCATCTCCATGGGGCTACTGGTACCCAGTCTGGCAGCAGCCATGCCTCTGGAGGAACAGGATTAACAATCTCCCAGTCACACACCCCTAGCACTGCTAGCCAGAACTTCGACCAGTGCGGCGCATTCAGGGCGCCTCCGAGCCGGTGGAGGAGACCTCGCGCCTGCACCATGACCGGGTGCTCACTGTCCACCCCAAGAAGCCGCAACACGGTGTAGTTCAGGGATGTGCCAAACACAGTGCTGTCGCCTTCGGAATGGAGACCCCATCCTCCATCGACCGGGCTCGCGTGCGCAATCAGGTAATTTTTGATCTCTGTCGCATAGGCCGGCGGAATGGGTGTCTCCGTCACCACCCCGGGAAGCAAGAACATTGGCCCGCCATATTCGCAGCCCCAATTCCCCGGTGGAAGCTGTAGCTTCGAGAAGAATTTCAGGCCATGAATCGCACTCTCTAATGGTGAAGTAGCAGTAGGAAGGTCCGGGAGATTCTATTCCATATCAAATTAGAATCTGGTGCTTGGGGCCCGCGCGCCATGGGGGAAGGTTAAATCGCGTATGGTGAAGGTACCAGAGAAAGCCCTAAATAATACTTATCAGCGAGTGTTTGGGGCCATTTCCGAGCCGCTTCATCGTCGTCGAGATAATGCCATGTGTGCTTTCCATCCTCGTCCAGCATCCGCCAGCGCGAGTAATCCGTCTTGTCAACTCCGTTCATGCCAGGTATCTCCTTAGAATGCCGCCAAGGTGAACAGATAGAGAAACAAACACACAAGACCAGCTGTTTGCGAGGACAGAATTGGTGCAATCGGCCCCTATCTAGCCGATCTAGGCTGGGCAGGTAAACAACGGACAAACCGGACACTAGTTTGCGGGTGTCGTCTAGGCTATCACATGCCACACACACACACCTGAGGTTCCTGAGAAGATTAAGTACGGCTGAACGGGCGGGAAGCCCCGTTGTCCATACCCTACGGTCGTATGTGCTTAACTTCAGCCATCTTTAATCATAATGGTATCCTGTAAGGCTAAAGTCAGCTGTGCAAAGTTGCGCAGAACGACGTGAATCCGCCAGTGCGCGCCTAAATAAGGCGGCTTCAAGGGAACTATCAATGATGACGTCAGTTACCACCAACCGCTAATACCAGTGTTTAGAACACTGTGAATCAAGTAAGTTAGTAGAAAACAGGGTAATCATCTTTCTAGTCAAGGTATCAGCTATGCCTAACGCAGGGAAACCCTCTTGTGTACATGAATTATAACAAGCAGACAGATCACCATGACAGGACATAAAGATCAAACCGATGGGAACTCCAGGATATGATGCGGACTCCGTAGACAAGGACAGATCATGATGCTTCCAAAAGCATGAGTAGGCAGCTCTAAAACTCCAAAGACACCGGACGGCGCAAGGGATCCATGCAATCCGTGCAATTGAACCCAGCCAAAAAGCAGCAAAATCATAAAGCACGCAGACAAAGGAAAACCCCGGTTACTGGTACTCCTCCAGCTTCTCCGACACCAACTGAAGAACCGTCTTTTGAACCTCCTCCCGGGGACCATCAGCATTGATGGTCAGCGCATCCCATTCGCCCTGGGGTTCCTCGAGCGCTTGCAATTGCGAGTGGACCATGCCGCTCTTCATATAATGGGAGGGATCACGCTGCTTGACGCGCTCGATCAGGACGTCCTTGTCCAGCTTGAGATAAATGAAGTGGATTTGGACGGAGGGGGAGCCGTAGGCGGCGACGCGCATGACGTCTCGATATTTCTGCTTGAGGGCGGAACAGGCGACTACGACGCCGGACGGAGGGTGGGAGTTGTTGGCTTGCGAAGGGGAGAGGGCCTCGATGGCGGCTTTGCGCAAGGAGATGAGCCAGTCCCAACGGTCTTCGTCGGTTAGAGGGATGCCATTGCCCATTTTCTCCCGGTTGGTTTGTGAGTGGAACTGTATGGATGCCTGTTAGTTCGACTTGCGCATTTCGCAAAAGGCCGTAGATAGAATATCCGGTGGCTGAGAAGTACTTACATCATCTCCTTCGAGGAAGGGGAGACCCAGCTCCTTCTGCAGTATCCGTCCAACGGTACTTTTCCCGCATCCCGCAGGCCCGGTGACGACCCAGATATGTTGGATATTCTCGGCTTTGGATGTCTCTGACCGCATTGAGGTGGCCGAGTTGTGATTCAGAGAAACTTTGGTGACTGGTGTCCGTGAGGCATCTACAACCGCATTGGTATTTATAGGCGGTTGAGGCCTTTCCCCTGCAGAGAGCATAGTGTGTACAACAAAGAAGTACGGCTCAAACAGAAAAGAGAAAACAACGGCACAAGAGAGCCGCGGAGTGAACAAAGACTATGACGCTCTAGTGATACACGGAATTCGGTGTGCGCTGCCGGATGGTTCAACCAACTTTTGTATTGTTGAGGTTAGTGAATGTATATAGAAGGTGACGCTTTTGTGTCTTGAGTGCTTTGAACTAGGTGAACTGAAGCAAACCAGGTTGTTGAACAGCGATTGCGATCAAAGGTAATACCAGTATCTTTCATGCAAGTTATAAGGGGAAGAAGAGAAGAGACAAGGGAGTAATGGCTAAATAAAAGGGAAGAAATCCAGCAAACGGATATTAAGTATCAAACCCGGGTCTGTGGGGACTTTCATGTCGAAAGCCGATTCTGTAGGGAACTGGGAAACTTGACCTATTGTTTTCTTTCCAGTTGAAGTTTCAAAAATATCGAATCATACAGACGTAACGGGAAATTTCCGACGACTTTTAACTGGAAGTCCTAACAACTTCTACAGTGTTTGGCTTCTCCATAGCCTAAGCTTAAGGTGCCTTACAGAGTACAGAGTATAGATTACAGCCGAGTGGGGGAAATCGCGAAAACAGCGAAACATTCAACAGGTGGGGGACATTCGACAAGATAGGGGGTTCCGCCGGCTTGGGCGTTAGTGGGAGATCGGTTTCTTATTCTAACCATTTGAAGAGGCTCACCATTGCAGAATGGAAAGATAAAAAAAAAAAGGTACTATCCGAAATTATTCTAAAAATTGAAGCAGCTGAGTAGGTTGTATATCGCTATACACAAATTGTAACGCTGTATCTTTTGGATGAGCAGCAAATACGTACGAAATTACGTCCCCCTGCCATCCCATCTTTTCATGATGTCACGGGTAGAAAAGAAGGTTGCCCTGCACCGGGGATCCGGGACTGATACAGCCAATAATACGATTACACGCGAGTTACAAACACTCATCATAAAAACCCCCCACGCTATACCAGAATTGGTATGCATGTACAGGGCAAAGCAATTTTCCCGTGTTATTTTCATCCATTATTATTCCCTTAAATCTAACGGAAGACTATACAGTTCAAACTTCAAAGGACGGGGGAATGCAGACCAGACTCTCAGGAACCACTCAAAAATGATCGCCGGGGACCAGATAACAGGATGCTGTGGCTAGTATGGGCTGACGGGAATAAGGTAGCGGCCTGACACAAGAACCTTCTACATAATATCTATCTATTAGGTATCCGTCTACTGACCAGAAGTTCCTCGATATTGATTGCAATTAATGGCAAGAACGAATGGAGTACACCTAGTATTTACTCTGTAATCAGAAATACTCCCCCACGCAATCTACGAGATCTTCAATATCATCAACAACAAAAGTGGGAGGATTCAATCAAAGTGCAAGCATCTATCCCTAGCTACACTCTGTAATGTGTTGCTCATTCATTTCTAACTCGTCCCTGATGATACAGCATGGCTGTACAACACTCCAATCTGCCAATGTTTGATCCCGTGGACAAAGGGAACAAGGGGGCAAAGATAATGAGTGCACTATGGACGGACTAGTACTCCGCACTTCAGGAGGTACTTTGGCGTCTCATCCCTGATAGGCGCTCATTAGACAATCATCGTCCAAACAAGGGTTACTGTTCAAAAGAGCGAACCTGAAAGTCCGATACCATCCTCAACAGTCAAAGATGGCTTGAACGTGCCGGGCCATGTCGCCCACCGCCTAATTGATTGATCTTGGGTCCTTGTGGCTTGCAGGGGGACGTGGCTCAATCCGGGGAAACCCGTCAGTTTGCATGCAAACAATTCGCTGGCCAACATCTTCAGGTTCCAAGCATTGAGTACTCCGTATTTATCCAAACCTTGTTGAAACTTGGAACTTGGAACTTTGCGGGTATCACGAGACTCGGGTCTCAGCCTCAGAGGACGATATGTTTGGGGAAACAAGGGCTGCGGAAATGTGTTTCCAGTTGCCTTACTGGTAGGCTGGCGGATTTCTGCCCAAATCCGTTCGTCCAGTCAAGCTCAGGACAAAGACGAGTCGAACCTGTCGGAAACTGCATTATTTTCCGCGTCCCCCATGTTCGAAGGTTCCCAGGTCGTACTGAAATTCACTTTAAATATCAGTTGTAGTATCTTTACCCTCCATTTTGCAAAAATATATTTCGCGACCATTGGCGGGGTGCGGTAGCAATACTGATACCTAGGAACTCTGTCTGCCCAAGAGATGGTACACTGCACCCATTATTCTCCATCTTGGACCCTGTTTCAAGATAGGTGGGTATCCAGAGCATTGCTCTTTAGCCAATTTAGCACGGACAGGACATGAGCAAGTATGCGGTTTATTGGGCAGCATGTGTAGCGCGTAACAACTTAGTAGTATGTTACAGCTGCTCCTAGCACTGAAGACGTCGAGTCGCTTCATATTTTCTGGGCCATGGGGAAAGTGACTCGTATGTGTTCAACAGTTAATCTACGAAATCCGCATGTACAGACGCAACTGTTGATGCAATAACGTCTCCTACGATGCTGTGATATTACGTAATCACCATATGACAGGCTAACTCTCAGGCAGTCGTGGATCGCCTTCTGCGGTCAACAACCCAGATGGAAGCTTGAGCGAAGCTAAGCGGCATGGCAATTGTGTGATCCTATCTGATTTGACTGCAAGTACTTCACGTGTGCACGAGTTCCAATCTGGTTTAACCTTCCTAAACCCTGCCACCCGGCCTCCGAAATGACTTCTCTCTTCTTCTCCACTCCCGTCGACATTGACGTCGTGCTCGAAGACAGCGATGAACGCCAGACAGTCGACGTGAAGCTCGATAAGGGCCGCCGCGAGCGAGTTCCTCTTTACATGGATGGGGAGTCGGTGAAGGGTGCTGTTACGGTTCGGCCAAAGGATGGGAAGCGATTAGAACACACAGGCATCAAGGTGCAATTCATTGGCACGATCGGTATGGGAGCCTGCCCGTTCAAAGGCTGCAGCACTTACTGCCACTGGTGGTTGAGACTTGAACTGACCAAGCATTTTGCCGAGCAGAGATGTTCTACGATCGAGGCAACCATTACGAATTTCTCTCGCTGGTGCAGGAACTTGCCGCTCCCGGAGAGCTGCAACACCCACAGACATTCCCCTTCAACTTCAAGAACGTCGAGAAACAATACGAATCATACAATGGTATCAATGTGAAGCTGCGGTACTTTGTTCGGGTGACGGTGTCGAGGCGGATGGCAGATGTGGTTCGCGAGAAGGATCTCTGGGTCTACTCTTATCGCATGCCCCCGGAGACCAACAGCCCCATCAAGATGGATGTCGGCATCGAAGACTGCCTGCATATTGAGTTTGAATACTCCAAATCCAAGTATCACCTGAAAGATGTCATCGTGGGGCGGATCTATTTCCTCCTCGTGCGG